GCTTTGGGGATTTGCATTAGAGACAGCATGTTACATTCTGAATTCTGTTCCTTCAAAATCAGCAGACAGTTCTCCTTATGAGTTGTGGAAAGGGCACAAGCCTAGTTTCTCACAAATTCGAATTTGGGGTTGCCCTGCACATATCTTAGTGCAGGAGGCTGGCAAGTTGGAGAAACGTTCAGAAGTGAGACTGTTTGTCGGCTACTCCAAGAAAACGAAAGGTGGTTTATTTTATAGTCCTGAGGATCAGAAGGTGATCGTTAGTATGAACGCTAGATTCTTGGAAGAAGACTATATCATAGATCATAAGCCCAGTATTAAACTTGTCCTAGAGGAGTTAGGGAGAGATATCGATAGTTCCCCACCGAGTGCGCAAGTGGATACATCACATAGTACTGCAACACGTAACAATGATAGTGTGCCAATACAGATGGTACCTCGTCGTAGTGGGAGGGTTTCTACACAACCCGACCGATGGATAGGTCTTGGAGAGTCATCAGACTCAGTTCCAGGAGACCTAGAATCGGACCCAAGAACTTATGACGAGGCACTCCAAGATAGAGATGCAAATTCATGGAAGGTTGCAATGAAAGCTGAGATGGGGTCTATGGACACCAATCAGGTCTGGGATCTTGTAGAACCACCCGATGGGATACGTCCCATTGGATGTAAGTGGGTTTACAAGAGAAAGAGGGGATCGAATGGAAATGTGGAAACCTTTAAAGCTAGGCTTGTTGCGAAAGGTTATACCCAGAAAGAGGGTATCGATTATGATGAAACCTTTTCGCCAGTAGCTATGCTTAAATCCATTCGGATTCTCTTAGCTGTAGCCACTCATATGGATTATGAAGTCTGGCAGATGGATGTTAAGATGGCTTTCCTTAATGGGAACCTTCAGGAAGACATCTATATGCAGCAACCAGAAGGATTCATTGCAAGAGGGCATGAGCGCTTAGTTTGTAAGCTTAATCGGTCCATTTGTGGACTGAAGCAAGCTTCAAGATCTTGAAATATTCAGTTTGATGAGGTAATCCAGTCATATGGATTCACCCAATGTCCGGATGAGCACTGTGTATACAAGAAGATTAGTGGAAGCGTGGTGGTGTTTCTTGTGCTATACGTGGATGACATACTTCTTATTGGCAACAACAAGAAGGAGTTGTCGGACGTAAAGGTGTGGTTGTCTAAGCAGTTTGATATGAAGGACTTGGGTGAAGCAGGACACATTCTTGGTATCAAGATCATTCGTGATCGTGAGAAAAGAAAGATGTGCTTATCCCAGTCTTCATATATAGATACTGTCTTGGCTAGATTCAGTATGCAGAACTCTAAGAAAGGTACATTACCTTTCAGACATGGAGTACCTTTATCTAAGGAGTTGTCTCCTAAGACGACTAAGGAGATAGAGGACATGAAGACAGTTTCTTATGCTTCGGCAGTAGGAAGTCTCATGTATGCAATGCTTTGCACTAGGCCTGATATTAGCTACGTCGTTGGCATGGTAGCGAGATATCAAAGTAATCCAGGAAGAGAACATTGGGCTGCGGTGAAACATATACTCAAGTACCTGTGAAGGAATAAGGAGTACATGTTAGTTTACCGTGCAGACAGTTTGTTTCCAATGGGTTACAGCGATTCTAATTTTCAGTCAGATAGGGACGAGAGTAAGTCAACCTCAGGTTATGTTTTTACCTTGGGAGGTGGAGCCATTTCATGGAGGAGTGCTAAGCAGAAGTGCGTAGC